AGAGAGAGAGAGAGAGAGAGAGAGAGAGAGAGAGAGAGAGAGAGAGAGAGAGAGAGAGAGAGAGAGAGAGAGAGAGTATGGTCCTGCAATATTTGCTCTCTATCCCGATCACCCCCCCCCAATTCTGAATAACCGCCCCTTGTCTCACATTGGGTAATGCTCAGGCTGCCACACTCTTTGCTCTTTATAGCTTCCCTTCGTATTCCCCCTCATCCCTCTCCCTCTTCCACCCACCATCACTTGCTGCAATCTGTGCCTCTACAAGCACACAGAGCCACATGCAGGTTTCCATGCATGCAATTGCACCAATATCAACGCGAGATACAAATTAGTTGTGACCGGTGAGTGATCAACTGTACTGTGTGCGAAGTGTCAAACCGTTTCCTATCTGAGGCTCACTTAGGGAACTGTACAGAACTATGCGCGTCCGCAAATGAACACAGTCATTCAAAGTACAGTGTAATGACCCGCCAAAACATAGACCGAGAACACTGCTGATGTCTGGGTTTTGCCGCTGGACTGTACGCCTCTGGGTTTTGCTTGCTGGTCCGTGTGCCTGTCTGAGTGTATGTCTGCCTGAGTGTGTGTGTGGCCTGACAGGGCACTTGTGTGTTGTGAGGCCAGTGGGGCCGGTACTTACCTGTGGCCGTGACTTTGAGTCCTGCACACAGCAACGGACGAAGTCAGTTCAGTGACAGCGACCTGCAGGTGAGATAGCGAGGAGGGCTCCCTTCTCTCTCCCTCCTCCATCTCTCTCTCTCTCTCTCTCTCTCTCTTCTCCCTCCTTCCTCCTCCTTATCTCTTCTTCTTCGAATCTGAGACTGTGAGAGGTTATCAGTAGGGATTCAGGCAGAGGTTATGCTGGGCGCATTGCCCAGGATCTGATTCGACATTCCTGGGACAGACATTGATTGGACACTCGGCAAGGGACTACTTTTTTGACTTCGCTATTGCGATCTTGGTCTACTCCCTCGCCTCCTTCCTCCTCGTCTCGCCCCTCCCCCATCTCTCATCTGTGGTATCTCCCCATGTATGTGTGCGCAGGAGGGACCTTTCTTCCATGTGTGCAGTCCCTCCTCCCTCTCTCATATGTGCGATGTGTGATGGATGTCGGGTCAGTCCAGATCAGATCAGATCTTCTCTTCAAACCTTCCGCTGTGCCATTTTGCGCCATCTTGTATGTATCCGGAATGTACATTGCTTGTTGATGCTGCGCTGACCTCGCATTGTCCATTCAGTCCTTTTCATCACATTGTGGATCCTTGGTCTACTGCGCATTGCTTCCCTGAGCATGCGTCAGTTTCGGTATCGGAGCTGCTGTATGTGAATCAGGACGAAACCTGATCTGACGCGTACATGGGGACCACCCAAGATTGATTGGGTGAGTATCGATCGATTGATTAGTTGATCCTGGATCGATTGGTTGATCCCGGATTGATTGATTGATTGATTGATTGAGTATTGATTGATTGATTGATTGATTGATTAGGTTATACTAATTAGTCCCCAAAATCGCAGATTCTGACCTAACTGCCAAAATCGAAATGTTTTCTCCTTTTTGGATTTCGTTTTCCCGCTATTTTTTTTGGTAACAATGGCGGAGCATCCGGACGTTCGTTTTTCTCTTTTTGAAACCCGAAACTTCGTTGCTGGAGATCCGAAATACTGWGATTTCCCATTATTTATTTCGCGAATTTTTTTGACTCCGTCATTTCGAATTTTTCTCTTGTTTCTGAAATTCGAAATTTCGCGGCAGAGAAAACCGGAATTTTTTTTGAAAAGTTTCGATTTTATCCCGTTACGAAAATTCCCCTTATTTCGAATTTTTTTTTAAATTCGTTTTTCAATTCATTCTGAAATTCGTTTTTCATTCCCGAAATATTTTCTGAAATTCGTTTTTCACTTTCTGAAATTCGTTTTTCACTTCCGAAATTATTTCTGAAATTCGTTTTTCACTTCCGAAATTATTTCTGAAATTTATTTCCGAAATTATTTCTGAAATTCGTTTTTCACTTTCAGAAATTCGAAATTATTTCTGAAATTCGTTTTTTTCAATTCCGAATTTTTTTTCTGAAATTCGTTTTTCAATTTTCTGAAGATTCGAAAAGTCCACAAAAAAAATTCTGAAATTCGTTTTTATTTTTGGGAATTCCTCTTGCAAGCGTTCGTTTTCAAACGGCGCATACTCTCACCTACGATATTCCGAATATTTTTTTGCTGTTCTCGGAATTTTCTGGACTTGCGGGAACCGATATTTTTTTCTGCTTTTGCAGTCCTGTATCTCCATTTGACATTTTGATGCATTCGGCAGTCTGAAATTCGAAATTTGTGGCTCTAACTACTGGGGGGCCTACCGAACTTGCCAATTCGATTTATTTTTTTTATTTTTTTTTTTCCTATCGAAATTGTTGCAAGTTCCCAAAAATTTTTTTGATTAGTGGCTCCATATCTGGGCGACCATCCGATTGCCCACTCCCCTTCTCTCCACCCCAACCCTTCATCCCTTCTCCGTCCTTCTTACCTGCCCATTCACCTGCAGTTGCAGGCCAGGTAAGTCCTCGCTTCAGCAGGCCACGTCAGGGACCCGCCGCGCATGACCATACTTACTTGCTCGCAGACAACAGCGATGGATCAGAAGGCAGGCGAGACTGACGAGGCCTACGAGGCACGGCTGGCGGCCATCATGGTCGAAACCAAGCAGCGGGCAGACGCAGCGGCAGCAGCACGAAAGAAGAAAGAAGCAGAGGCAGAGAGACTACGTCTTCTGGCCGAAGAACAGCGGCAGAAGCACAAGGCAGCAGCAGCCAAGGCCGCCGACGAGGAACGCGTACGGCGACGCGAGATCATATTCAGGGAGGAAAATGCATTACACGCACAGGCCAAGGATTGGCAGAAGGAGGCCGAGAACAGCGACCCCGTTGACGTCGGGAGCAGAGTATCTCAGCTGCTCAACCTTGTCACAGACCTCCTCGCGACTTGCATCGCGCAACAGGAGGATATCTACTCTCTCGACCACACCAACAAGGCGTTACAGCAGTCACTGGACCAGATGCTCAAGCGCGTTCGACAGCTGGAGCAGTGGGTCGCTAACGCCAATGCCAGCGCCGGCCCCTCCGACCTCGCCGACCGCGTCAACATCTTGGAGATAGACGTGGGGACACTCAAGGCCGGGGCACAACAGCACATCTGCGCCGCAGCCAGCTCCAGCACGACGCCATGCGAGACCGTTGTCAAGTTTGACGGGCTCCCGATCTTCTGTGACGCATCGAAAACGGACCCCATACAATGGTGGCGCCAGTTCGACCTCAAGCTGGACCTCCACCACGTCGCCAACGAGAACCAGCACGCCTATTTGTACTCCCGCTCGGGAGGCGCGTGTCAATCATGGCTGGACAATATGCTGTCCGCACATGCATGTACAGCCATGGAATTACACAAATACATCACCTGGGCAGATCTGACGGCGGCATGGAAGAAGCGTTTCCAAGTGGAACCGCCGGAACACCAGGCGATGGACAAGTTGTTGACGTTCACTCAACACAACATGCCAAGCGGCGACTAGATATATGAGTTCCAACGCCTCGCAAGCACGCCCAAGCTGCCGCTGAATTTCGACGGCATCAAGCTCTATTTCATCAAGAGGTCGTGCCCGGCGTTGCAGAATGCGTTGACTCATGTCGCCGACATCCTCACTACAAGTGAGAAACTTTTCAACAAGGCCGCGCAGATCATTGTGACGAACTTGGCAGCCCAGAATACGGGCCACTCGTCAAATGCCGGCCAGGGCACGCATCAGCATCGGCCGAAAGTGGCCGTGGTCGCAGCGGCAACGACTAGCGACCCTTCTTCTTCAAACGAGGCTGCTTCGACTGACGAGGGAGACAGACTCGCAGCTGCCCAGAATGGTGGCCGCCCCGCCAAAGGACGAGGACGCGGCAAGCCGAAGACCAACACCAATACTTCTTCTGGGCCCGGGGAAGCAGCTCCAGCTCAAGGACCTTGGACAGCGTACGGTCTGACGAAGCGAGGGTATCGCTTCCGCACCAAGTACCGTTATTGTTTGTGGTGCAATTGCGCGGCCCATGAGACCGCGAACTGCCCCACAAAAGCCAAGGGCCCCGCTCAGTCGGGAAAGTGAGCTCCGGCGAGAGTGTTGCGACGACACTCTCGATGCCTATGGGACCGGTTGCCGTTCGGGTAACCTCCCCCGATTCCGGGGCACATGCGGACGTTGTAAGTCCTCCAATTCTTCATTCTTTCGAGGACTATGCTGCCCGACTCGTACCTTCGCTTCATTCACGAGCCCAAGGACAGGATGTATGTGCGGTCTCTTCTCCGATCGGAAGCAGCAGCAATGATTCGTCTTCAACTGGACCTTCACGGGATTCGGCGCGCGCGTTCACCATTGAGGCCTTGGACCCGTTGACGCCTGAGGATTTTGCATGGCTTCCTCTCCCTTCCACCGGCTGCTTACCGGAGCCGCAATGCGCAACTCTTCGCACTCATTTACATACATACCTAGCCTTCTATGCACCACCAACTTCGCCTACAGAGGACGAGGTCGCGGTGGGGGACATTCTTGCGTATGTGAGCAAGGTGGCCCGCGAGTTTCGCACGCAGCAGTACGACGACAACAACGCACTGCTCCTTTATGTCCGCATCCAAATCGGGCAAGCATCCTACAACGCTTTGCTGGATAGCAGCGCGACTCGCAATGTCATTAGCCAGTCCTTCATGCAAAGGGCCGGCCTTGGACCACAAGTTCGGAGGAAGGCACACCCTACGTCGATCAAGCTGGCGGACGGAAGAACGCAAGAACTCCTTGATCGATACATCGAAGCCGTCCCGGTTTATTTCGCACCTCATGCATGTGAACCGGTGACGTTCGACGTCTTGGACACGGACTTCGACATCATTTTGGGCATGCCTTGGCTTGCAAGTGCGGATGCACCTAGAACATGTGTTTTCTCTCCCCCATGCAGTCCGTTGCAACTCGGACTGCAATGGGGGTCAATTCCTTAGCCCCAATGCCCCACAACTAGCCCTTACTCAAAAGAAAAAGAAACGACCAATTCTCAAGTGCATCCAGCCTTGATATTGGCTCCGGATGCACCTAAAACATGTGTTTCTCCTCATGCATGTATTCCGTTTTATTCCGGTTGCAAGAGGCCTTGATTTTCTTTGATTTTCTCTGCAAAAATCAAAGAAAATCAAAGTCTTTTGTAACCGCCATATTCCAGAATGAATCTGGTCACGGATGAATCTCCCCAAGTGACCGTTTTTTACCGTTAAGGCCTTTTTTCTCTTTCCTTTTCTTTTCTTTTTTCCTCCTTTCTTGGACAGTAGGGACCTGCCAGTCCCTACTGACGGCCAACTCACTCACTCCCTCTCACTCTTTTTGTCTTATTCTCCCCTATTTTCTTTTCTTTTCTCTCTTTTTTCTAGCATGCCAAGTGTCAAGTGGCCGTTAAGGCCCTTTTCTAGCCTCTTCCTCTTAGTTTTGGCCCTCCTTATGCCCAAGGTGCAGTCCGTTATTTCTCGGACTGTAAAAATGACCTTCCCATGCCCATGGGAGCCTCCTTTTACTTCTATATTTCTCCCACTTTGGTCCCTCCTACTCCGATTTTCTCCCGGAGGACTATTTTTCACATGGGGTCTTATTTGACTCTATTTTCTTGAGGGAGACTGATCCGAGATTTTTCGGATTGCTCCCATGCCTCCCACTTCAGTTTTCTTTACTTTTCCTTTTCTTTTTTAGCCTCCCCGTTTGTCACCACTAGTGCTTGCACTAGTGGTGCTAATATTCTTGGCCGTCAAGATGTTGATCTTGACGGTGCACCTCACATTTATTATTTCCCCTCATGTGGTGCCGCCATTTCTTCTTGGGACTTTCACATGTCCCCGCCACTTGTCCCATCGGTGGTCCCCGACACTTGATCCCGCCGGTGGTCCCCGACACTTAGTCCCGCCGGCGGTCCCCGGAACTTAGTCCCGTTGGTGGTCCCCGGCACATTTCGCCCCGGATGCCATTATTTTTACTTAGTCCCACGTGGCCCCGGGTGCCTTTCCCTGAGGTGTCCCATGCCCCTTGGGCGTCTTGTCGCCTCATAGCGACCCTTCTCCCTAGTCTTTCCTCGCGCCTTGTGCGCACCGATCTCTTTAGGTCGTGGGCCTCTACTCCGAGGCTCCCGTAGGTGACCTCCATGTTGGCCCCTCATTTTCTGACTTCCCGCGGCCTCTGGGCCGCCCATCTCTTAGCTTCCTCATTCCCTTATTGTTGTCGCGCTGCAATTGCTCGTTCAAAGGCCCCTTTGGCCTTAATCTTATTGCATTCCGATGGCCCTCCCGGCCTCCTGCTATGTTCTACGTGCCCCTGTTCTTTCGCTCGCTGCCGCTTAGTTCTTTCCTCCTGTGGTTCTCGCCCCAGGGCATTACTCCCTCCTGCGGCCTAATCCTTTATCTCGTCTCGCTCTGGATTTCTCTGTTGTGCACAGTTTGTCCATATTCAGTCTCTCGAGTGATGAGAAGTTATTCGGGACTCACCAGTCCCGACAACGTCCTAGTCGACCGACGACGGGTCGCGCTTGGGACTTCAGCCCCTCAAGATGTCGGTTCGCGTGCGGGTCCGATAGAGGCGTATTACCGCGCGTACCCCTTATGCTACAACGAACGAGAAACGCCCTCCACTGGTCCACCTCTGCGATTGCACCTGATTAGCTTTCGTACTTTGGGCTGGTAGCTCGGCGGGGATACGCCCACCGAAGGGAGGTGACAACTCTCGTAAGGTGGAGGTAAGTTGTGCCTCGCGTAGGCCCTATCCTGTTGTAGGGGCTCGTTAGAGGTATGGCTGGCGCACTCGGCCGGAGCGGCTTGCGGAAGCTCCATATATATTTGCGACGACGATTTAAAACCTACTCCTGTGTGACGTGGCCGGGAGGGTCTCGCACTGCCCTAATGCGGTGCCGGACCCATGCGCACGACAACGCTTCCTAGATAAGACGACGACCGATAAGGCCTTTGACCAGCTCACAACCATAGGCCAACGTCATTGGAACTCTGTGGAGTCTCTGTCTCGGGAAGTAGATCGATTGTTGCAGGTTCCTGAATTAAACCTGCAGGACAACCAAGTCCTCTATATCTATTCCCGCGCTCTGCCTAAGCCTATTCGTGGACAGCTCGTGGCAGACTCAAAATTCGGCAAGTAGAAGCTTGTTACACTATGGAACCAACTGTTGAATGATATGCGTTTGTCTAGACCCGACGCTGAAAGTCACGTCCGCAATCTGTTTGATTTGCAGACGGTAGAAAACCGTCTGAACCAAGCAGTTGCGGGCGCGAAGTTCGCGGCTGCCGGTGTAACGGTCGTACCCTGTAGGACTTTCGAGCCTAAGTCGACCCCACTGCGGGTCCCATTTGGCTCGACCCGCCCACGCTCATGCTCGGGGCGCGGGTCGTTCGTCCCAGGGGCACCCCCACCTAGTGCTATGAGATGGATGGGGATGGGTCATTTGCGTGAGGGCTTTACATTGGGGGATGTAGCTCCGCTCTCGCGATAGATGGTAGCTCTTTGATCACTCGTGGCGTTTTCCCGATTCATTTAAGTGTGACCAGGCAATTGCTCCTTCCAATACGCAAGCAGTTCAGGGGATTTATTGAGAGTTTGTCTTCTTTCGTGCGTAGGCCAAGCGTCATCCATTGGGCCACACACCTTTTCACTAAGCATGGCAATCCCTACGGCATCATCGGGGTGCGGTCGCGCCGTCCATGCCCCTAGCCCCTATATTGTTTTTGCTTGACAATCTTCCTATCCATTGTTGCCCTTAGCCTTTTCAGGCTCCCACATTGCACGCAGAGCATCAAGATACGCATTCATCACACAAGCCATGTCCCTTTCCCTAAGCACACGATCATCAAGTCCCACCCGCATTCATAGTCTGCGCTAGGCCCATGTCCATCCCTTGTCGATTTTCCCATTCTTGCCCGCGTTCCGCGGATCCAGTCCCGCTCAAACCGTCCTAAACTACTCACCTGCGCAAGACCACACGAAACAAAGGGCAAGTACAATCCCCATTGGGGTCAACACACCACCCCTCCCGCATGCCTAAGTTATTTTATCTTCCCATGGCCTTCTTGGTTTCCTTCCCCTTCCCTCAAGCAAGCCATGCCTCTTCCTCAGTCATGCAGTCGGGGAGAATGGTTGAGTCAAACTGACCTTGCCACAAAACTTCACTATTTTCCGCTTTCCCAACTGCTCA